TACCTTGATGACTGATATGCATCACAACACAACTGGAAGTATTTATCAACAACTACCAGGTTTGAGACCATTCAGATAATTCCTTCAAATCATTTTGGAGTTCTGAGCTATCACCCTTACGTCGTATCATTCTCTATACCTTGACATCGTCAGCATATAGCAAGACCGATGATGATAAGAGACGAGGAAGGTCATTAACATACAAGAGGAATAGCACTGTCCCCCAAACTGCACCCTGAGGCACTCCCCTGAGCACAGTTTCCCAGCCAGATAACTTTGAGTTCACCCGTACTCTTTGTGGGCGCCCAACTAGGAAGTATTTTATCCATATCAGTAGATTGTCCACAATTCCGACATCTCTCAGCTTGTATAACAGCCGGATGTGTGGAACATTGTCAAAAGCTTTGCTGAAATCAATGTAGACTACGTCTACATGTAACTTTTGGTCCTTAAAAGCACACCAGCTTTCACAAACAATTAATAAGCTAGTGAGACAAGAATAACCTATTCTGAAACCGTGCTGCTTCTCCGAAAGGATCCGGTATTCATCGAAATACTTAAACAGCTCCTTGCGAATAATCTTTTCTAAAATTTTAACAACCACACTAGTTAAGCTAACGGGTCGGTAATTCTCAGATGTATGTTTCGTAACTGTTTTGAAGGCGTTCTTTCAGTCTTTTGGTAAACGATCCTGTGTCACGGATATATTAAAGCATATACTTAAAGGGTTCTCAATGAAGTTAGCTAATTCCTCTAGTAGCCTAGAATGCAATTCATTGAGCCTCATGGATTTACCTATGTCAAGCTTATTTAGCAGATCAAAGACATCGAGTTCTTTAATGGCCACGCTATCCAGTGTATGTGTGGGGGGATTTGTGTGCGATGATGGGATGGGTGCTCCTATGGTATATACATTGCTAAAGTAGTTCGAGAACATTTGAGCCTTGCCAAAGTCGTCCTCCACTAATGATGCGGCAGTACTGTCTCCCCATAGTGCAGGAATATTTTTTCTTCTTTTTGTCCTTTGGTTTATATACTTTTGGGACATTCTATGGGTTTCTCGACAATTTTCTCTTCGTACAATCTTCTAAACTTACGGAGGGTTGAGGCACAGGTATTCCGAGCTTTTCGATACTGAGATTTTGTCTCACCAGTCCCCAGTGACCTAAGTTTATCCCACATTTTTCTTCTCTTACAGAGAAGGATGCGGACCTCCCTACTGAACCGTGTTGGGGAGTTTCTCGGCCCCCTTGGTTTATTCTAAGGGATGTGGGGTGTGATAACTTTTAAGTATGAATTTCGAAATGCGTACCAAGCCGTTTCAATTGAGGACTCTGGGTCTATCGTCCAATCTACTAACGATGCTGAGTGCATGATATCTGGTATGTTTGCTTCCCAGACGTTAGGTCTGGATTGGGCTGATGCGTGTTCGTAATTGACAGTTATATGGAAGTCAAAACTTAAAACTGCGTGATCACTTTTACTGAGTGGTGACATGTAATGAAGGTTCGCAACGTCATCCTCATAGTGAGTCAGTATAAGATCTAGTAAGGATGATTCAGAGTCCGGGTCGAACCTAGTCTCTTTTTTCACATGTTGCACTAGGGCACATGTGATAACCGCATCAACTAGTTCCTGCTTGAAGGAAGTATTTGACGATTCATTCCGCAAATCTTCACAGTCTACCATAGGTGCATTAAAGTCCCCTAGGATTAGACAACGACCACTTTGAGACCAAGTATTGAGACCGCTTAACAGGATCTCATTTGCCTCATAGCTTGAACTGCGATAGACCAAGCCAATCAGCAGCTCTTGTCCCTTGCATTTCAAGCGGCAACTAACTAATTCACACGTCCCACTCTCATGGGATACACTATCGATAATGGCAAATGGGATAGCATTCCTAATGAATAGAGCTAGTCCCCTTCCTTTGCGCTTTTGTGTTCTGTCGGCCCTTACTAACGTAAAACCCTCGAAATCAAGTTCCATACTATCTACAAACTGTGTCAGACAGGTTTCTGTTACTGCGATTATGTCTGGCTTTGTAGAGTCAATCTGTACACTTAGTTCCGATTGCTTATTGAGTAAGCTTCGGGCATTGGTGTAACAGATCCGAAGTCAATTTAAGTGGCTTCGGCATCATTTTCTGTTGAAGCCTTACAAACCGAAAATTTAAAATTTTCAGGTCCTTTTCGCCAGCGTCTAACCTAAGTTGTAGTTCTTTTTCGGCTTCCCGTCTAATTACGCGGTCTACCAACGGCAAGTCCTTACGAATAAAAACTCCCGAACCCTTTAATTTGTGTCCATTCTGTAAATATAAGTCGTGTTTTTTCGAAGATTTGAATACTACTTTAAGCAGTCTGTATTGATTTGGCTTCATGTTCGCTAGACTCCCAAGTCTATACACCTTTACCAAGGTGACTCCGGAGATATTTTGAAGTATAAGTTGATTAAGTAGCTGTTTTATCAGCACAATGTCATTCTCAAAATGAGTTTTCGGTTTGGAGCTTTCACTCTCTATGATTCTATGAAAAATAACTGATCTGTCATTGTGATCAGCCTTCGATTTCTCGACTACTTTTATGGGGGCAGGATCCCCTTTTATACCATTATGTTATTTCTTCCTTACAACCTGCGCCCATTCGTCGACGTTGCTTGGAGAGGCAACCGCAGTCGCGTCAAACATACTATGGGATGCTGGACGATTTTCTACGACTTTTGAGGTCAGGTTATTTTTCCCGCTAGAAACCGATCGAGCCTTGCGATTGTGGCTTCTAGGCGTTTTCTGTTGGATATCATTTAGAAGACGGCGGACAGAAGAAACTTCTTTTCTTGAGTTTTTAGCTAAGACAGACCACTTTGAAGATTGTTTTTTCTCCTTCGGTCGGTGTGAGTCAGCTGTTTTAGAACTCACCTGAGCTTGCTTTACACCAATTTGCGTGTCGACAGAGCGAGTACTGTCCGATGCGTGCTGACCTCGCTTTCCGAAACACTTTTTCGCAGCATTTACCAACGAGATGGCCTCGGTTAGAGAGCTGTTTGCATCCGAACAGCACTGCTGACAAAGCCATACTATACCGTTTTTACTGAACCGTTTAAAAGCCGCAGGCGTTAAATTCGTGCAAACTTCGTGGTACCAGACTTTACACTCATCGCACTACATGCCACTTTCAACGGGATAACCAAAACCCGGACGTTGGCTATTACCTTTTTTGCACTGTCCTGTCATTAAACGAGGGTCTATTTCTTTAAAAAAACTAGACGCAATAACACTCAGAGACAAAAATGATCTACGAAAAAAATGTGAAAAGCTGTGGATTGTTAGAACCAAAAGTACTAACAGATACAATCGAAAACCAAGTACTCAAAAGTACCGACGACAAACCACTTTAGAAACAGAAACGTCACTCTAATCGAATACTTTAACTGAAATAAATTCAATTAAAGTGAAGACAGTAGTCTTGATACGTAATAAACGATCAAAACAATAGAACTTACTCAGCGAGGAAAAATTCCATTGTCCTTTTAATTAGCGCGCTTTTTACCTTGACTTCTCAAAGGTTTTCGATAGGGCCAACCATATATGTCTTGTCAGTAAGCTCAAACGATTTGGTATCAGACGGCAGAACAATTAACTTTAACACTTCAAAGTGTAAAGAAGTTCTTTTGAGGCATGCTACAGACTACAACCACAACTTAGGCAACCCCCCTCTTGAGGTATCTCAAGTTGAAAAAATATCTAGTTGTGTTGGTGCCCTATGATTTGAAGTCTTACGCTAACTGCGATAAAAGTGCCTTACGATCAAACTTTGCACTGATAACGTTGAAGCGCATTTTTGGCCAGTTCTACAGAAGGACTTTCCACATAATCTTCATTAGTTTTATTAGTCCCATTTAGAGTACGGAACCAGCATTTACTCCCCCACTCCAAGAGATAAGGACACTGTGGAACATACTAACGGAGAGCCATGAAATCAGCTCGAGGACTAAAATTCAAGCCTTATAAAGAGCACCTCCAATCACTAGACCTTTACCCATTGGAGTAAAGGCGTCTTAGAGGTGACCTTTTAATGACTTACAGTATCCTAATGTAGTCCACCAATGCAGATGATCTTTATCGGATGGTTGGAGGTCTACTCGAGTTGGACGCGATTGGTGTGACAAAAAAGCTAACTCCGAAATCACAACCCGCGGTCAGCATCTAGTGTGTGTTAATCCCTCGACATATCGAAGTACTATGGCTGCTTCGAAGACCGTATAACACAGAGGACGTGGTTACAAAAATATTTTGGTTAAGGTAGATACAAGCGAAAGTAAGACCACCGCCGCATAGGCCAGTCCACGGCACACGATTAACTGATGCGCGTTGGTTATCCTTGACCTTGATAGGGATCGATGACTTGTTCGATATTTAGTGACACAAACTCTCGAATGATTTGACTAGGGCTCAGTGACATTCCAGTTGCCCTACACTAAATACTTCTGGTCATCCCGTCAAACACTTACTTAAGCTTAGTCCCAACATAAAAATTAGGGATAACAACAAGAAACTGGAGGCACAATTCAGCAAAACGGACCCTCTACCCTTTAAGAGTTGTCAAATGTTGGAATTCGCAGCCGGCTGAGCTAGTCCATATAACTACTTAGGAGATATTTAAGAGAATATTTAACATATTCTCAAGGACTATGGGCAGTATCTTACCATGGTTTGCCACCTTTTTTATTTTTCCTCTCTTGTTGGTAAAAAAATCACATTCCTGCCTGAAGGTATCTCTGATCCACTGTTGCTAGATACGAAAGCCCGTTAAGCGAAAGCTTCTGTTCCACCCAGGAGCGTATGAACAATTTGAGTCATTTAGTGTTGAATACCTATAAAATCATGTATTTTAAAGATATTCAAGCAATCAAAAACTACTTGAGATATAATATTTTCATAATTATATTTGACAAGATATTCATAGATATTTTAAAAGATTTAAATGGGGATTGAACTATATTGCGCAGAGTTTGTAGGTAGTGTTACGAATCATTATTGGTTGTTCATGTTATGTTGACCATTTTGTCATTAGTGGACTAAATGTTATTGTAATCTAGAAATTTATTGTCATTTCCAAATATATATAATTTATGAGTCACAAATCCATAAACCATCAGCGGTCAACTTAAGTGTCTTTCTAATGCTACTCTCCAGAGAAGGATTTCTTTTTTGTGAAGATTTTACTTCAATATTAGCTCATCTCCAAACTTACTCTATGTTTCTCTGTCCAGAGAACGTTTCTGCTTTGTTATCGCGATTGAAGTTGCGAGCGGAGTTAGTTCAACGCTGACATAGGACTACAATATATTTGTATTGTATTAAGTTTAATGACTATGTATGTGGGGTGTCTTTTATGAAGCTTGCTATCTAGACTTTATTGTGCTTATTTTCTAGGAGTGTAAATAAGTCAAACTACTGAGATCACGAACTTTGTGCTTATGCCTAACGAATATGGTTCTTGTCGACGGCTGACAATTATTCACACTGGTTTAAATCTTTGCTTATCATTTGAGTCTAGTAGTGCCTTTATCTCATGTTGGTTTTCTGAACAACGAAATCCTCACATCGTTAGTTTTTCTTACAAAGTAGTCCTGTGTCGGTCCATTTATGCTATGTCTTTGCAACGCCAAAAGATCTGATGGTATAATTACAAACAGGAAGTGTTTGTATCGTCGCTATTGTTAAATGAAGTTGATGTCATCAATTTCTCCCAATCTGTTCATGTACGGCTGCTACTAGGCTTTTGTTTAAGGTTAAGACATTTGTGTTTCTCACTAAAGGGTCGGTTTTCAACTCATATCATCTGAAGGTTAATATATCACAGCTAATAATACTCATGCGACCCATTCTTTCTTTTAGTAATTTTCAAGTTATTGCCGTAGCTTACTATAAATATGTCATATTTCAACTATTTTCAAAGAACAGCGTACGTTGTTGTATTCTTACAATTTGATGCATGTCCCAACAATATTTATCAGATGCTGTTTTAACTTATTTATTATTTTTAAACGGTATCATCTTGTTTTGTCTTAACTGCAGTGAAAAGTTATTTCATCACACCACTTAGCATAGACTAATTGGATTTTATTTACCCATATCTTCAGATCATTGGTTCATAAACGACAAGTGGATATATTTTTGGTGCTGATAAGTCCGTTCGTTAGTAAATGTATACTAAATTCTTAACTTACTCTCGTCTCCGGCTAGTCCATCAGCGTTAGAAGCAACTTAGTGTATTAGAATGCTGTACTGTTTCTTCCATGTTTTTAACATGCGTACAGAAACTCGTAAGTGGATGGTTACATATAATTAACTCAAACGTCGTGATGCATTTAGAAATATGAATTTCTCTTTGATAATCACTTTTAAGGGATAGATCGTTTGTCAGTTGATTAACTTACTGACTTATATTGGGCAGGTGACAGTTCCGTTTAGTGGAAATGCTGATAGAATGTAGTCTTTTGATCGCCTTGACCATCAATTCAGTATATATGAAATACATCCCTCTGGATTTATAATTTCGTTTCAAAACTGGTCTACGTCAACATCGAATGATAGGGAGTAAAGTAGTTGAGCGAATCAACCAATTCACTTATCTTGGTAGCCTCATAAACTGTTTTGTATTAGTGTGTGGTAAAATCCTAGCACGGATCCAAAGGTTTTTATCGGTCTTTACTGGCTTAAGTCACTTTTAGCATAAGCGAGATTTGTTCGCCAACCGAAGACAGAGTATAATACACTGCAGCTTGTTCAATTCTACGAAAAAAATTGCATCACCATCTTTTTTTCATTTCCATACTCCATTTTTACTCCCCGTGATGTTGAACATCGTAGCGGCTTACGTGTTTACTTAATTACTTCAGGTATGGTTTCCTGTTTTTGTCACACCAAAGTTTCTTTATGTATATTTGTAGAGTATACTACGGGTTTTTTTTCTGTTTTGTACATACTATTCCTTTCCCTCTAGATTGGACAGTAAAGTCATGCAGTCATTTAGGTGTATACTCACGAAAGGGATTCCATTGCAAATTGCCTATCGGTAAGACTTGATTATCACTTAGCTTCCACACATATAGATATCGAAGTTATGGTATCAGATTAAAAAGTTTTGATCCACCTTATTTGGTAAGTACAGTTCCTGATGAAGTATGTATTTAGGTGAATTAGTCTGTCAAACCATCTATTCATATTTATCAAAGTGTGCAGTTTGATGTAAGAGGACATGACTACGTGCAGCTAGAGAAGTTCACTTCATACATTCACAAGTTTTTCATCAATTGTGGTTATGAAGTTGAAAAGTTTGTACTACTTTTCAATCACTTAATTTTAAATTAGTTTTCCACTGCCTCCCAGCAAGAAGCTCTATCGACTGTATCATACTAATTCGACAAATATCCGGTCAGATTTCGAAATATCTGAATTTCGAAGAATATATAGAGTATCACTACTTATTTCTGCTTAATTTTCTTGTGGTTTCTTCAGATATCGGGTGTGAGAGCTGTTCACTTACCAATATTATTAGATCTGATCTACCAGAATTTATCTTCAGGGATTAACATTCATATCGGAAAGGTATCGTTTGATTATTAAAGCTAATAAGTTATAATTTATTACAGACGGATACTTCCTTAGAGGAAAATCGTTTCGTTCCACAACTTGAAAAAGAAGCATTGGAAAAGGAACTGTCGAAACTCAAATTTTAAAAATTTCCTGACTTTTGGCATTTTGTACACAAATTCAACTAGTTCTTAAGCATTGACATTTCTGTTTATTGTTCTATTCGATCGAGATCTTAAGGTACATAAAAAGCTTCCATGTCAGGAATTCGATTATGGTGAAAAATGTCCGTATAAATAAGGCGTAAAATATCCATCTATCATTAATACTTTTCCATAATTCTCATGTAATAAAGAGTAACTTTTGAGTTCATCTCCCTAAATCTTTTATTACATTTTGCAAGTAACGATTAAGCGTTGATTCATTGTATGATTACATTACTATATTTCCTAACTTAAGCAATAGAAGCCATTCATATATTCATCTTTAACATATGCTGTTAGTAAGAAGCGAATAATAAACCACCAATTTAGTTATATTTGCTCATCAAAGTAGTTTATTTAGTTGATATTATAAATTGTATATGTACATTAAGTTGTTAATTATGTAACGTTAAGTATTATTCAGTTCATTGTATTCACACACGACTAGTGATTAGATAGGTAAATCAGATATCATTTGGTGTATATATAGTTTTGCATTTATTTTTGATGGATAATAAAGTTTTTATCTTTGGTCTTTATTTTTTCCCTTGCATTGGGCCATGTTCGTATTTGTTCAACTATGACTAGTAGAAAGTCTCATTCTTTCTGGAGTTACGAAAAATAACCATATTAGTGTTTTGTCAATTTACAACATATCCGAAAAAGAAATTGAACATATGAAATATTTTAATAATTCTATGAATTCAAACACACTGAGTTAATGATCCAGTTTCGCTATGAGTTATCTATTTTGAAATGTTAAGTGGTAAATTTTCTTATATCAACTTGAACTTTCGTGTCATAAACCTGACTTAATCATCCAGAGTATGTATCAAAATAATTGTTTTTTTTTAATTTCAAGGCGCGATTAGAGAAAATACAAGACTAGGCGTATATTAACGAGAAAATGTCTAAAATTTATAATGATTTGGAGTCTATGATTAGAGACTAAGTAACAGGGTTCAGAAAATCGGTTGTCATAGTATAGATATCTTTCCCATTCATCTTAGGATTGGTAGACTATAAAAAACTCGACACTTCTCTAATTTAGCATATAAAGCAATATCTACTGTTTCCTGTGATCTTCACCCAGTAGTCGCATTTAAGTATAATAATCATCTAGTCTACCGAAGTTGTTTCTCAAGTGAAAATTGCACAATGTACTCATACTATTGTTTACCTAATTTATTACTCGCAAAGTAAATGAAGTGTCAGTGATAATTGGGTAAAAAAATACCCACGTAGTTTGAATATTAATATTTGCCACAGAAATTTAAATTACGTTTACCTCATAGAGCTTCAATCTTTCTATTATTTCATACACATAGTTCCCTTTATCATTTTGAAAAGAGCAAGAACAAACATTCTAGCAGAATAGCATGAATTCATTTTTATTTCGTTGGTTCTCGTCAGCGGCTTACAACCTGTGATATTTAAAATCATAATTAATGGATTTAAATTACTTACATAAAAGAGTTTGATTGGAAGTTATATTAAAGACATATTCATATAGTATAGCAAGGGTGTAAATAAATTTAATAGACCGAATATTGTAAATATATACCTTATGTGATGAAAGAACATTGTGACAACAGTTCAAACGGTTAGAAACAAATAAACCTTGATAGGAATAAAATGAGTAGAGTTCAGTTGATAAAATAAAATAAGATAGTTGGAATAAAACTCAATGGTGTAATAAATGCAAGAAGCGTAGCAATGGGAAGCCCATTAGGTCCAATTCTGGCAGATATTTTTATGGGGTATCTTGAAAACATGGTGCTTAAACAGACGATTAGCGAAACGACGGAATATTCCAGATATGTTGATGACACGTTTATTGTCTGTAACAATAAACAGCATGCAATCCACATGCTAAAACACTTCAATAACGCTCATCCTAACATACAATTTACTATGGAACACGAACAGAATGACATGTTCCACTTTCTTGATGTTGCTACAAAACGTAGGAGAGACGGGACAGTCCAGCGTTCGATTTATCGAAAAAGTACTCGGAATGGCATTTACCTGAATTTCATTAGCTTTTGTCCACTCAGTTACAAGAAGGCATTAGTTAAAACACTTTTATAGGGCAGAAAAGATATGTACCACTGACAAACTCGAAGAAGAATTGATGAAAGTGGAAAAATGCCTGCGAGACAACTTTTACCCACAAAAGTTTATTGACAAGTATAAGAAGCGTAAAGAAAACAATACTGAAGTAATTACTGTCAATAAAAAACCAATAACTATAGTCTTAACTTCAAAGGTGACGAGGCTGCAAACACAATCAACAGGAGACTGAATACTGCGCTAGCTAGAACTTATCCGGCGGCCAAACTTCAAATTCTGTATAAAACAACATGCTCAATAACTCAATCAAAAGTTGATAAGCATCCTTTTCATGTTACCGCCAATTGTATTTATAAATTTACGTGTACCTCCCAAAGCAGCTACATTGGCCGAACAGAAAGGAGGGCATATCTCAGATTTTTTGAACATGTCCCAAAAAGCCTCAGAACAAGAGAAAGAAAGACTCTAAATAGTGCAGTCACCAAACATCTTGATACAGAACATCAGGTCGATACCCTACAATCATTCAAGGTGATTAGTAAGCAGCCAAACTCCAGTCTTCTGAAGTTTGCTGAAGCAGTTGCTATCAGGCGCCAAAAGCCTGATTTATGTGTTCAAAAGGAGATGGTTATTAATCTTTCCTTGCCTTGGTGATTAATATTCCTTCGTTATATCTTATTAATTTTTTTCTTTTTCCTTAAACTCTTTCTTGCATTTATTACACCATTGAGTTTTATTCCAACTATCTTATTTTATTTTATCAACTGAACTCTACTCATTTTATTCCTATCAAGGTTTATTTGTTTCTAACCGTTTGAACTGTTGTCACAATGTTCTTTCATCACATAAGGTATATATTTACAATATTCGGTCTATTAAATTTATTTACACCCTTGCTATACTATATGAATATGTCTTTAATATAACTTCCAATCAAACTCTTTTATGTAAGTAATTTAAATCCATTAATTATGATTTTAAATATCACAGGTTGTAAGCAGCTGACGAGAACCAACTAAATAAAAATGAATTCATGCTATTCTGCTAGAATGTTTGTTCTTGCTCTTTCTATTATTGTTTTTCATTTCGATAACATCCTGGTTCATCATTTTAGTAATCTTGTTACATAGTGTCTGAAGTTGTCCATCATTTAAATTTTTTTCACTACACTTATAAGAATAATGCAGCATACTTTTCAATGCAATGTTTATTATTATTGAGTGGTTTTCTAGTAATTTTGGTTGATGTTTTATAGAACACCGAATCACTATCGTTTGCACTACTTATGAATATAACTTTACACCAACAAACTATTCAATTATGACTATTCCCAAAATATATTTGTGGTATTGCGCATTCTGGGTTTACAAATCAGTTTCTGCCCCGAGGTTTTTCTAGCCAACCAATTTTTATCCAGTCTATTTGTTTGTTCTAGTATAGTCTGCTTGCCTTGAATTAACTGATTCCTACTCCACAACATGGGCGAATTTTGTTTAGAATGCTTATGCCACTTATAATTAATCTCTTTCTTGAATGATACTGTCTTAGATCAATTTCTAGTATTTCTATACTGTCGGCAACTTTATTTGACTTAATTCCTCTAGGTTTGATGCAATAATAAAGTAGAAACGCTTGCAATTATCAAAATCAATATTCAGAACTAAGATTCACCATTCATTCCATATCACCTTTAGAAATAGAATTTCCATTTCATATGAGCCCTTACGTAAACTCCTCAAAAAGTGTTATTCTTATAACATTTCTATCCAATCACCAACTAAATTTATGACCAATTACTTGTTTGATTAGAAATTTTATGCGGTTCCATTGCTTTTATGAAAACTTAACCAAGTCCTTTTTTATTGGATTACAGATAACTCATGTATTACTTTCTCTAATATTGAGGTAATATATCATAATATGTAAATGAAGTTTAAAGTACATTCTCGGATCTCTTACGAGTTAACTTAGACTTATAGATATATAATTGTTCTTACATTGGTTACATATCGACCTATTACGTAACATAACATCCTTAATTACTCCATTAAAAAAAATTATGGAAAATGTCCCACTATGAAAATCATATCATTTAGCACTTAGAATTTGACCCTTATTCAATGAATCCTTACGGCTTCAAGAAGGGACTCAGTGTTTAATTGTCAGACCTCCACATTGTGGCTTTTGTTGTAATTCTTGACCAATAAAGTCTCTCATACTATGGCTATGTTAAGCATGTTTCAGATTTCCAGTTTCTAACCTGTCTTTTTATTATTCTTTGGAGTAAGTCTACAACAATTTTTTTTGACTATTGATATGAAAATATTCAGTCAGTCAGTCAGTAACAGCGTAGAACTTCGTACGTACGTACGTCAGTTCGAGTTGCCATACCATACCGCATTAGCACAGAGATGCAGTTGTCGATTCAAATTCCGTAGTGGTAGAGGTGGTAAGAGTATAAGCAGTAATCGGAAACATGAGGGCTTGAAAATGTTATTCAAAGAGTATAATACAGTGAAATAAATTTGGAAAGAGGAAACAAGGGACATGAATAATTCAGAAGATTAGAATTTGGGAGAACACAAAGAGTGGCTGCACTTGTGCCATTGCAAACGATTTTGAGCCATGTCATTCAGGGTAGGACCCCAAGAGGTTTCCTTTTCAGCGTCTTTCCTACATCCAGTAAGACGTAGGCAAATACACGCTTTCACTAGAGCATGATCTGAATCTAAGCATGTGCTCCAGAATGAGCGACAGTCTTCTATCGAGCCCCTCCATCGGTGGCTGTTAGCGATGTGATCTATTTGGGTCCAACGTTGGGACGAATTAGGGGGTCGCCATGTTAAAAGATGTTTTTGCTTATGCTTAAAGTTAGTATTTGCAAGAAATATTAAGTAAATAGCTGTTCTTTACACGGTTGGTTGAAATCCCTAGTTGTTTTAGTTGTTATGTTTACTAGCGTCTGTAATTTATCTTTTACATATTGCGATTAAATAAATAATCTGTATTAGTATCGTTTTATGATTGATAACTTTAATCGATGAATCGCCTTGAAAGATATCTTTATCTAATCAGTTTCGCTCTTTGATCCGTTGTCATATTCTATGTAGTTTTTTTATGATCCAACCATTTTGTTTTCAAAATCAATGTAATATTTTATCTGTGATAATAATGATAGTCTATAAATTTTTCCACTTATGAGTATATTTTATTTTTTTATTTTTTAATGTTTTCATAAATTTCAATAACCGTATATTATTTAATATATGGTATTCTTATGGTTCAAGAAATTACTCAAATACATCTAAAGTTTAAAATTAACATTTTAATACTATAATTTTATTTAATTTAAAGGTTTACGCAGTAGATCGGTCAACAACACTCGCCATTGTTTATATTCTCAAGTATATTATTATGAAGACTTGTTTATCTGTAAATGTCGTCACACTAAGTGACGATC